TGTATCATTGACAGCAAGCCCACAGGTTTGCCATATCTAAAATGTCAGTTCCCACTTGTCAGCAGTTTCACAGGTCGTTGGAATGCCCAACTACATTTATCATAAAAACTATTAAATTATTTATTCTTTTTTTTTTTTTTTTTTTTTTTCAAAAACCATGAGTATAGGGAAATAAAAAAATAATGTATCAATTTAAAAAATTGATTGATGTTTTGTTAAATTACAAATTTTAACTATACATTTTATTATAGAAAATGGGGTGTTCAATTTAAAATAATAAAGTTACATCAATTTCCGGTATAAGCGAAAATGCAAGGCCGTATTTAAGGAAAAGAGTTTTAGTAGTTAGTAGACCCTCCCTCCTCCCGAAATTATGAAATAATATAGTTCAGAAAATTGACTGCAATAGTAAAAACATCTAAAAAAACACCAAAAATAATTTGTAAAACAAAAATAAACTTGAAATAAAAATTAAATAGATCTCTATATCTGTAACGTGTGAAGGGTGGGTTAACCCATGGCACTTAGGTCTTACTAGATCCATTTTTCATCCTTATAAGTTGATAGGCTCCTCCTAGCTCATGAGCCAAACTACAGATTTGATGTAGTTGACAACATCGCCAAGAGGTGCCTCTATTATATCGGACGGTGTTAGCCGATACTCGCCGAACACAGTCTAATAAATGAGTGCGTCGGCTATCGTAGAGGATGATCCCATCTTCTTGTTCGCGCCCTCTGCTGAATGTAGATTCTAACAGCCCCATACAATGGAGATCCTTTTGTACTTGGCAATGACCAGTCAGAATACCTGTGACCAGGCTCAAATTATGTCTTGTCATAGTCAAGTATTTGTTTGCTGTAGTATTGTCAGGGTAACTTAAAAGCTCCCTGGCAATTCTGCAGCTTGTTGTCAGTCCAATAGAAGGGCCAAGTCCAAAAAGTATTTGGTTGGCTGCCTTGTTGGTTAGTGAATCAGCAAAACATACATTTCGATATGAAGTGACTTGATCCATCTTAAGGTGACCATATTGTTGACGGATATATCGGCCAAAGTTTCGTGACATTCTAGTACTAATCCAGAATAAAATCGTGGTCTGTCCAGGGTGAGTAGAGCTTGTCTGCTATCTGTAGGTATATATGAGGATGTTTCTTCCACTGATATTGTTTCTGGTAACTTCTTTTGCTGCTAAGAAAATCCCCGTGAGCTCGTTTTGAAATACACTGGCACTATTGCTCACAGCCCATTTTTTTGTTTAGGTTTAAGGATCTGGAGTACATTCCACATTCTGAGCCTTGTTTTTTTTACAACCATCGGTGTAGATTTAAAAAAAAATCCGTTTAAAAAGAAAAATAATAAATTTATAATAAATTTAATCACACATTTGCATAAATAAATAAAAATAATAATTTTTCAACATTGTTCGTAAAATAATTTTTCAAAAAGTTTTTGTTAGAATTGAGATATTGTCATTAATTTAAAATTGTCTGGTAGAAGATTGTATGCTTTGAAGATATTATATCTAAAAGATTTTTTAAAAAAGGTAGTTCTATGAGGTGGCATAGAAATATTTTTTTCCTTCTAATATTAATATTGTGAACATCTGATTTATACTTTATTTTATTGGTTAAGTAAGGAGGAGTTTTGTTTGATTACTTTGTGAAGTAAAGTCAACGCATGTAATAACCTTCTGCGGGTCATATTCAACTAGCTGGCAGTTACTAAGGTATGACTAATTGGGTCAAAATTTACTTGTACCGAAGATTAACCGTAAACAAGAATTTTGAAGCCTTTGCAGTCTGGATGAATCTCTTGATGTTAAGCAGGGACCATATACATAGTCACAGTGGTTAGTTTGTGAGAGTACAAGCGATTCACAAAGGAATATTTTGAGTTTTCTACTTAAAATATGTCTATTAGGATACAAGACTTTCAATTTTCCATATGCTTTCTTTAACATAAATGATATGTGATGGGTAAATCTCAATTTGTTGTCGATTATGACTCCCAGATTTTTAGCCTGCTCAGTAGTTGTTAAAAGGTCGTTTTCAAGTCTGATTTGTAATTCATTAGGTAAAATATTTTTTCCGAATAACATAACATTTGATTTAGAATTATTAATTACTAAGTCATATTTCTTAGATGCTTCTAATAATGCTTCTAGCTCAGTGTTTATTAAATTTTGTGCATTATTGATATATTCTTTATTAAAGGAGTAATACAACTGAGTCTCGTCATTCGGAATATTACTGGTGTAAATTGTATACAGTAAAGGTCCTAAAATTGTATCTTGAGGAACTCCTCTTTTTATTCTACCCACATTTGAAATGTCATTAAGGAAGCTTACTCGTTGAGTCCTATTATTAAAATAATTTTTAAAAGGCTCTACTGCAAATTTACTGAAACCTATGTAAGTTAAAATGGCAAACATAAATTGGTGATTTAAGTAGCATATCAAAAGCTTTGCTGTAGTCAAGTAAAATTAAAACACCGCATTTTTTATTATCAAGTTCAGTTAATATGTCATCTGTGATATTTAACAGAGCCGCACAACTAAAGCCTGGCCTAAACCCTGACTGAACGCGTTGGTAGTATAGAGTATGTATCCAGATGTTTTTTTATTTGAATTTCGTAATTCTTTTAATTCAGAAGGTGGTTCAACTTTAGGTATGGATGTAACTAGTCCTTCTCTTTCCAACAAGATGGAAACACTGCGTTTGATAGGCAGTAGTTAACTAAGTGGGTGAAGTATGGAAGTAAGTGCGAACATAAAAAATGTATTAAGGATATGTTAATGACGTCATATCCACAAGCCTTTGTTTTTATTTTCAAGATAGAGCGAGCTATATCTTCTTCCGAAATTGTTTTAAATTTAAATTTTGCTGTCCCATTTTTCGACGATTTTTTGGCACAGCTTGACATTTGTTTTATCAAGCACAAACAAGTATTACATTTATATTACATTTTTTGAATAACTTGATTTCACCAAATTACAAAAATATAAAAATTGACAATGAAGAATGTAAGAAAGTTCTATAAATACAGCAGTTTCATGGCGTTGGCGCTAGTTTAGGAATGTGAACTAAGAATTTGACAAAAATAGTCTACGGAAGAAGAATTTCTGAAAAAATGCAATAGAGACCTTAGATGCATGCAATAACATTTTGTTTCCAAATATATATAAACTTCTACAAATACTGTGTACACCGTCAGTGACAACAGCCACCACGATAGAAGTTTCTCTTCTCTCGAAAGAGTGAAAAGTTATTTAGGAAATTTGACTGGTCAGAAAAGGCTAATAGGACTAGTTCTTATGTCTAGTCATAGAACGGTTCCAATACCCAATTAGTTGGTTTTGAATAAATTTTCACATAGTGCAAGCAGATGATTTGAGTTGGTACTTTCATTTTTTTTTAATTGCTTATTTTCTCATGCGATATTTCTTCTATTTTTTATTTTATATTGTTTTTTTTTTTCATGTTTTTTTATTTTGTTAAATATGTTGTAACTATTTTTATTTTATGTTGTTTTGTATTTTTATTTTTTGATGTGACTGTTACTTTCGTTTGTAGTTAAATGAATTAGCTATTTATCTTTTAATTTTTAGAAACTCATCGAAAATCTAGTCAAAATACGGCCATGCGGAAATGGCACAAAACTGTCAAAATATTTTAGATGTAAAGATGATAAGCTCTTTGCCATTTTTACTGTTTTTTAACAAAATCCGTCCATTAGTTTGCTAGATACAGATAATAGTGGAAATCATGTATTTTACCGGGAAACCATAGTTAAAAACAAAAATTACCCATTAATAACAGAGTGTAAAATAATTAAAATTAAACGCCGCTATAAATAACCGTCTAATTGCACATTCAACTAATATTTTTATTTATTTTCCACTTTAACAAACTAATTTGCTTGCTCACTTAACTAACACAACAACCTTCACGTCCGTATGATATACAATCGGAAAATCGTCCCGATGTTCGAGGAATAAAAATCGCGAAAAAACTCGCGTTAGATCCAATTCGATCTGGAATTCAAATTGAAGTTGTTTGATATGGAGAACCGGCGGGTTTATCAAATTAATTGACCCCTCTGACGAAGGTCGTTTATTTTATAGACGTTTCGAGACTGGTGCACACACACGTAACCCCGTCGGTTGCCACGGATCTCTTCGACGATGACTATGACTAATATTAGGACTTCCAACATGCGAGGCGGTGGAAATGGAAACTGAAAACTTTCTGGCTACGAATTTGGAACTCGGCTGGACGAAATATGCGCGATCCGCGAGGATGACATGCGGGTTCACCAGCGGCGGAACGCTTGGTAGAGATACAGGAGCGTTTAGGATAACGAAATGCACTCTCATTTAGATTTTCACTTTTTATCGCCCTGTAGAAAAGTTGTTAAGTGTATTGGAAGGGTGGTATCAAACGGAAGCTTGGTATCAGTGTTGCCACTTGTAACATTATGGAATTGTAACATAATTTTTCCATCAAATTAGGTTAAACGATAATGTGTAACATAATCCTGTTTTAACAGGAGATCTCTTGTTTTCACTCTCAATCTCCTGTTCTACTGTTTTGACTATGAAATCTACTGTTTTTAGCCTCGATGTCTATTTTTCTACTTTTTCTAGGAAATCTTCCGTTGGTTTCAGTAATTTTCACTAGAATATTTTAATACGACACTGTGTTTCGACGACGATTGTTGATTTCTATTTTTAGTACTCCGAAATTTGCATTTTTTGTATGTTTACATGTATACGAGCCCCTTCCCATTTCAGTTGGCCCACCAATTGATATTTAGGAAATTCGCATTTAAAGAATAAAAATATAAATACTGCATGAACTTTCCAATTTTTATTCGTTGAACAATACATTTAATATTGTTTTAATCACAAAAAATACGTAGAAAACATCAAAACCTTTATTCAATATAAAATAAAGAAAAATTAAACAAATAGTTGGAATTAAACAATAATCAATTGTAAAGTTTACCATTGAGTAACGTTGCCTTTATTTTTTATTACAGCAGAAATTCTTTGCGGCATGGTATTAACTATGCCTTGGCAAAATTCTGGTGTAAACGAATCCCATATATCTTGAAGTTTTTGTTTAAGTTGAGGTATTGTTCTTGCAGGATGTTTTCGAAGTACCTTTTTGATCTCATGCCACAACATTTCTATTGGTGATAAATCAGAACTACTAGAAACCCATTCCAAAAGTGGGAAACCGAAATCTTCCATCCATTTTAGGGTTGTTTTAGACGTGTAACATCCTGCTCCATTCTGTAGAAATACAAAATCTTTCCCTGATGTCAAATATAATTCCATAGTCGGTAAAAGTGTTTTCACCAAAATTTTATACCTACATATGTGAGAATTAAAATTAAAAACCGATTAGAAGGCTACATCACGTGACGTTCCGATGTAATTGAAAACTGTTCATTGAACTCCCTGGAGTTATATTTGTAATTTCTTATGATTGTACTGTGTTTCTCTATTAAAAAATAGATTTATGAAAATCTCCTGTTGAAAAAGCAATCTCCTGTTTTTTTGACTGTATTCCTACTGTTGACAAAAATTTCCATCTGACAACACTGCTGCCAGATCTGTGATTGCCAGTGAGTTAAATGAAGAGGTAAATAATGAAATATTAATTGACTACTGGTACAAAATTTCCCATAATCGAACATGGAAATATTGATATTCATTTTGAACCGAATAATTTTGGTTTAGATTTAAGTTTTTGTGTTATTTTTTTTATTTAATTTTTCATGCGATTATAAATAAATAAAAATAAGCATAACGTGTTTTTTCCGAAATAACAAAATTAAGAAAATTGTAACAAAATTTTCAAGAAAAATCGATAATTTTGGTAGCACTGCACGATAATTTCTTCATCGGCTGGTGGCAACACTGCTTGGTATAGAGAAATTTAGTCAACATGAAGAGTTACACGGGAGAACAACAATTCTTGCACTCTCGTTCGACGTTTGTTTAGACGTAGGTTTGAAGAGACTAGTTACACAACTAACCGTGAGAAGCTCTGAAAACATTGATTGTAAGAGCGTTTATAAGACAAGAACCAAACTGTTGTAAATGAAGAAGAATTTACTAAGAACTGGTTCAAAAGAAACGAATATTTACAGTTTTTATTAATCTATTTTTCTGACAACTCTTTACAATCTTTCACAAATTAACATATTCTCTCAAAAAAAAAACTATGACAACTTTTTATTTTTTATTATATAGGATGATTTTCTATTTTCAACATTCTCCCACCTTTGCAATAAACTTATTGCAAACTTAATAAAATCATCAGGTATACTGCAATTTTTCAGGAGCTTTAATAGTTCGCCCATATCTCGAAAACGTCTCATAGCCCTCTTGAGATTTATTTTCATTTTTTTGTACCATTTTCATCTTTCTTAATCTCTTTGCTAGATGTTTGATGGTTTTTTCTTTATCTATTTTAAATATTTCTTCTGTATTAAGTTCCGAGTTTTCCTTAATGTCCAATAGATAGAGACGCTGCAAGGGTCGAATAAGATATCTCCCTTCACATCTTAGTTTAGCTACTCTTGTAATTACGTCTGTGCTTGGATATATTTCAACTACTTTACCTAATGGCCAATTTATTCGTTTCACATTATCAGCTCCCGATAAGTACAACATTACCTGCTTTAATCTTTGAGATTTTCCTTTGACGAAAATGAACTAAATTTTCTAGGTATTCTTTCCTAAATCGACTACGCAAATTCTGTCTGATAGTTTGTAGGTATCTATGCCTCTTAATAATGGATGTTTTACAAATGTGGTCTAGGTCAGGTACGTCACTGTTAGAAATGTCTTGAATAAAGTGTAATGGTGTTAATGGGATAAGTTCTTCATGGCTTGGAATATAGGATAGTGGTCTGGAATTTGATTGCTTCACACTCATAGATAATAGTTGTTAATTCATCTATGTATAAACTAGATTTACCTAAATTTCGTCGTAATAATTCTTTTACCATACGGACCATCCTCTCCCACCATCCTCCCCACCAGGCAGCAGAAGGGGCGTTAAAGATCCATCGTATTCTCTTAATACTGGCAAATGTTAATATTTCATTCCAATCTACCTCTCGTAACTGATTATTTGCACCTACAAAATGTGTTCCAACGTCTGAATAAATTATGGAAATTCGTCCTCTTCTTGTTATAAATCGTCTCAAAGCTAGAAGAAACTTGTCGGTAGAAAGAGATTCTACAAGTTCAAGATGAATAGCTCGATATATGCCTCCATAGCTTTCTTACTGTGTCTCTGGCAAATTATACATTTAGAAACGACATTTTTCTAGTTTTCTAAATTTTAATATCTAAAATCGGTCTCTCAACTGGTCTCTCAACTGCATTGAAAGTCGATGTTCTTCAAAAATTAGCCTTGTAACGATTTCATGGCTAGCAGGTAAAATAATTGGAAATTTAAAATCGGTGATATCTTCTTTTAAAGACAACCTAGTCTTAACCCTCAGTAAACAATTTTCATCTCGAAAAACTTCCAAATTATGTACAGATTTTATATCTAACGATCCGAAACTCTCTTGTTGTATGATTCTTATGAGTATTATTTTTACTGTCTCTAGTTCTCTATATTGTAATTCCTCTAGAGTTTTATTTCTTGGATTCTTGGAATTAGTATAAAATCGAACCATTCTTAAAATTTTCCTGTATTTTGAAAAATAACATAATCTCTTGCTAAATGGTTCAACTGTGCAAGAAACCGTGGTTAAAACAGTTTTCTACTTTTCTAGATCTGCTTCTTGTGAGTAAACTATTTCAGAATTGGGCCAAAATTGTGTTTCTTGTCTTAACCATTTTGGACCCTTCCACCATTGACTTTCTAATAAATGTTTACCTCCACAGCCTCTGGATGGTAGATCAGGTGGATTTAATTCTCCGGGCACGTGATACCAGTCATCCGTATTACTATAGGTACATATTTCTCTTACACGGTTTCCTACAAAGGTATTCCAATTTCCCTGTGTCTTAATCCAACTAAGCACCACCATTGAATCAGTCCAATAATAGGTTTTTACATGCTTAAAATATTCTACCTTTTTAATCGTAACACATAATCTTACTCCAATGAGAGATGCCATAACTCTTGTCTAGGAATAGTCATTGGTTTGATCGGAGCAACTCTTGATTTTGCCTGTAAAAGCTGTACTGATACTGTTCCATCTCTGTGTTCATCACGGAAACATATACATGTGGCAAAGGCTAGCTTACTTGAATCACAAAATACGTGCAAACTAGTCTTAATGACATTATCCAAAAGGAAAGTACAAAATTTTCTAGGTATATGTATTAGACTGATATAGGAAATTTGTTTTTTCCACTTACAAAATTGTTTAAGAAGAGGTTCAGGCAGCTCTTCGTCCCAACCAATTTTACTTTTCCAACTTTCTTATAAAATTAACTTTGGTGTTAGAGATACTGGACAAGTGAATCCAATAGCGTCAAAAATTTTCTGCGCTAATGATAGAAGTCCTCTTTTTGTAACTGAAATATCGTGTATCTGTCTTAGAGAATCAACATCACAGAAAAGTTCATCTTACTTGAAATCCCATGACAATCCTAAAACTTTAAAACCGTATCACTGTCATTTTCAATGAGTTCTGAATGTTTTATAAATCTATGAACCCATCCTCCCAATTCAAACCAAGCTTCATTCGTAAGCTCCTCCGTTAATTAATTAATAAACTTTTTTAACAAGGTAACAAGGTAACAAGGTATCTACACTTGTGATACAGTTGTCGACATAGAATAAATGTTTTAACTTTTCTGCTGTGTTTTTAAGATGGTCCGGTGCTTTATCTAAATGATGTGTTTTTGTGGCCGCTAATAAAAAAGGACTAGACGATACGCCAAATACTACCCTTCGGTGTCTATACATTATTCGCTTATTTGTAGAATAATCCTCCCAACATAAAAATCTGAGGTATTCACTGTCCTCTAGAAATAAACTAATCTGTAAGAATGCTTTTGTTATATCTGCTACAACGCCAATAGCTTTTTGTCTAAACTGCAAAAGAATTGAAGGGATTTTTTCAGTCAGGTTAGGACCCTTTTCCAGACAATCATTAAGAGAATGGCCCATTTTGTCTTTGGCCGAGGCATCAAAAATGGATCGAACCTTCGTCGTGGTACTGGAATCTTTAATAACAGCGTGATGTGGAAGGTAATAGCCATTATTATTCCACTGTTCCTCCGATACCTTTTCAATAATACCAGTCGGAGCCATTCTTTAAAAACTGCCTCGTAATCAGAAAATTTGTTAATATTTATTAATTTTTTAGTAGTAGTGATTAATCTTTTTTGAGCTTGATCCAAATTGCTATGTAACTCAGGATGACCATCAATCCATGGAAGACAAACCCTTACTGTTTATCTTCTTATTGAATAATGGTTTTCTTGAACCTTTCTAGTACACCCTCATGTCTTTTTCTGTCGTTATATTCTCTGCAGTATCTTTAATCTCTAAAAGCTTCAAATTCCAGAAATTCAGTGGTCAGGAAAGATAAAACTAAATTACAATTATCATAGTGATAAGATTTTCCCATAACTGTCCAGCCGAGGTGGGTCTCGATTGCAACCAAATTTTCATTAATACTTTCGATAACTCCTGTGTAAAGGTTTCCAATGACATCTACTCCTAAAAGAAGTTCTACTTCTAGTGATTCAAACTCGATGTCATGAAGTACAATATTCTTCTTTTTTAAATCAGCAATAATTTATTCATTTCTTAAACATCGAATATTAGAACATATTTATGTCTGATCGAGGAATATTTCAATATTAAAATGGACTGACTTGTCAAAACTATGTACAGAAATGTTGTAAAGATGGTGAACATTTGGAACTGAATGTTCACCCCCGAAAACACCCTTTTGAAAATTCATTTCTTTGACACATCTTATCAAAATGTAAGAACGCTGTGAAGCGGAATCTAAAAGCGCTCTTACCACTTTAGTTTTATCCCGGTTGATAAGTCTAACAGGAATGGTCTGGAGTAGTGTCTGGCTCTACAGGAGTTCGTAATGAGTACATTGTCTACATTAAGTTCAAATGTGTTTTCGGACCTTTTATCGATTGTTTCTTTTGATTTAAGGTCTGGACACATAATAATTTTGCATGATCGGCCTTTCCAATCTTTTAGTGACTTTTCAAAGTGAACAGTCGGCTTTGATGTCATTCGTCAGTTCACTCAGAAAATCACTGATAGATTCAATTTTAGATTTAATCTAGTTTTGTCAGCTGGAGCTCTAGACTGATCAGAGTTTTGTTTTTAGGCTCTCATTTTTTTCTTCAAGGTAGTTGTTGTACCTTTGGTTCTTGAGATAATAGTG